GTGATTCATAAGAAGATCCTTATTGAATCATTTAACATATTGGACCGCAAATTGCAGAAGCAACATCGCCCTTCACTAAATCATGCCAAAGCTTCTGCTTTTATTAACCGATAAACTGAATGCATGTCAGAAGCCTTTCAAAGATGGAAAAAAAGATAGAGAAAAGTACCACTTCCTTGAACCACAAAACCAAAAAATTCACTTTCTTGAAACTTCTATATATCCAAGAACTAAGGTGGCTAGCCCAAATAAATTCATTCTCAGAAAACATCTTGAAAATTTATAAAAAAATAATAAAGAAACGCTTTATCTCCAACATATCATCTATATTTAGAAGCGCCACAAGAAGCCAACTCTACCAGAACATTTCTCCGTTAAATAAGTTAAAAGTATATATTGATGAAAGAGAGGCTTAATCTCCTACAGAAACTAACCTCAAAATCAATTATTGAAATATCTAGGTCAGCAAGCACTACAATGCCAACTAAAATAGAATCATTCGAACCTATACATAGACAAACCAGCCAAACCTTGAATTAATAAAGGCAAGTCAAACTTACTTTAATTTGTTCTTGCTCAAACTCTCAGCCTCTGCAAAGTAACCGGACGCCCCATAAATTTCCTGCATCTGTAGTAAACAAAAAGTTGGCTATATCAGTCTTTAACCTCATCTACGATGCTACAGCTTATATGAAAAGAAGTATTGATACCTAACTCCCAGACTTTTGACAAGTCTTTATATAACCAAAAAATTATGAAGTCCTGAATCAAATTGCAAAGTTCCCAATTTGCAAAGAGGCATACTAAGCAGACAAGTGGACCCACGTTGTAGCAAGGGGGCTTAAATATTTACTATATCTATACATTATATAAGAATATAAAAGTACGATACACTGAAAGGCCGAACCAAATGCATTGGCAAAGAACGCCATCGTTTAAGTAAAGGTTATAGGTTCAAATAGCTGAGCCCATGACCTCTCTTTATTCTGGTCATTTAGCTTAGTGCTTCGTCCTTGTGTCGACACTTTCATCCAAAGAATCAACCTTCGCATCTACGAGGGTTTGGTGCTGCTCGGCATTTGTGTCAAATATGGTATGTTCACTAATTATACAAATTTGTTAAGTATAATAAGAACTACTACCATGCCTCGATCCCAAAGTTGAGATCAACTATATAAATTCTCAATATCCATTTCACTCCATTTGGACTTTTTTCATCCCAATACTCAAGGTAATGGGGAGATTGACAAGGATGTCACACGTCGTATTGAAATGGGATGGATGAAATGAAGGCTCGCGTCCGGTGTTCTATGTGATAAGAATGTGCCACCAAGACTTAAGGGTAAATTCTATAGAGTAGTGGTTAGACCAACTATGTTGTATGGGGCTACGTGTTGGCCAGTCAAGAACCCTATGTTCAAAAGATGAAAGTAGCAAAAATGAGGATGTTGAGATGGATGAGTGGGTGTACCAGGAGAGATAAGATTAGGAATGAAGTTAAACTGGGGAGAGGTGATTAGGCAAGACATGGTGCTTCAGCTTACTGAGGATATTACCTTTGATAGGATGGTGTAGAGGTCGACAATTAGGATAGGTTAGTAGGTAGTTGAAAGTTTCTCTTTTTTCTTGCCAGTAGTATTAGTAGCACTCATGAACCTTTATATTCTTAGATATATATTACGTCATGTTGTTTAGGTCGCTTCCGTTATCTTATTTCCGTATTGTTACTGTTTGGAACTACGTTTTCTTCTTCTTCTTTCTTCTTCTCGCCTTTTCTGAGCAAAAGGTCTATTGGAACCAGCCTCTCTACCTTCACTAGGTAAGGATAAGGTATGTGTACACACTACTCTCCCCAGACCCCACCTGTAGAAATATACTAGGTTTATTGTTGTTGTTGTACTCAATCATTTGAGGTTATCTAGCACTAGAGATTTCTACATATTTTCCTGACGCACAAATATCTAAACTTAATGACTCCTTGCAAGCCACTTCATATGTATGTACACCAACATGGCTAAGCCTCTTTCTGCCATCCATTGCTTGCTCTAATGTCGTGCTTCTCTTTTGCTCTTTTGGTTGGTTCATATTAATTTTTAGAACTTTTTAGTGGTTAATTTATTAAATGTTATTTTCTTATTTTGTTGTTTATTTGTTATTTTCTAATCTTGCATTATGTGTTATTGTTTCTAATTTTGTAATCTTGATTTATGTGTTCTTGTTAAATTGTCATTTTATAAATTTATTACAATGGAAAAATGGAAAAGGGTTCAAAATGACCCTAAACTATTGGAAAAGGTTTAAAAATACCCTTCATCCAACTTTTTGGTTCACTTATGCCCTTTGACCGTTAGGTTAATGCTGAATTAAAAATAATTATTATTCTTTTTGTAAAACTTAAAAAAAAAATTACAAAATATTTTCGTTTTTAAAAACTAATGCACCAGTAGTCCACTAATTTAGTAAAGTCTTCTTCTTCTTTTTTCAGCTTTTACAAAAAAACAATTCCGTTTTTTACAAAAAATATTTTTTTTCAGTTTTTTTAAAGCATTTTTTTTGTAAAAACTGGAAAAAAAATTGTAAAAACAGAAAAAAAATGTTTTTAATAAATATTTTCGTTTTTTAAAAACTGAGCCGAGGGAAGTGGGTGAGGATGTGAGGCTTGAATCACAGGTTATCCCAATTAGAGGCAGCTTCAAGTACCTTGGTTCGGTTATCCATGGGGGAGGGGAGATCGATGAAAATGTCGCACACCGTACTGGGGTAGGATGGATGAAGTGGAGGTTAGCATATGGAGTTTTGTGTGACAAGAGAGTGCCAACGATACTCAAAGGTAAGTTCTATAAAGCGGTGGTTAGACCGGCGATGATGTATGGGGCTGAGTGTTGGCCTGTTAAGAACTCACATATCCAAAAGATGAAAGTAGCAGAAATGAGGATGTTGAGGTGGATGTGCGGGCACACTAAGATGGACAAGATTAGAAATGATGATATTCGGGAGAAGGTGCACGTGGCTCCCATTGATGACAAGATGCGGGAAGCGAGGCTCAGATGGTTCGAACATGTACAGAGGAGAAGCCCAAATGCTCCAGTAAGGAGGTGTGAGCGACTGGTTGTGAAGGGCACGAGAAGAGGTAGAGGGCGGCCTAAGAAGTATTAGGGAGAAGTGATCAGGCAGGATATGGCGAGGCTTCAGATTTCCGAGGACATGACACTTGATAGGAAGTTATGGAGGTCGAGTATTACGATTGTAGGCTAGGAGGTAGCTGAGTCTTGCGTTACCTTGTACTGTTGTGAGCCTAGTCGGTAAGGTTTTTGACTGAAATAGCTAAGGGCGTTGCAGTGTCTTACTATTTTCTCTTTTCGGTGCAGGACCTATTTACTAGCCATCATTTTTGTTTTGCATTTTTCCTTCTGCATTTTATGTTCCTATTTTTCCTATGTGGTGAAACTAATATTCTCTCCTTTTTGTTTTTCTTATTATCTTGAGCCGAGGGTCTTCCGGAAACAGCATCTCTACTCCTTTGGGGTAGGGGTAAGGTCCGCGTACATACTACCCTCCCCAGACCTCACTTGTGGGATTTTACTGGGTCGTCGTTGTTGTTGTTGTTGTTGTTTTTTAAAAACTGAAAAAAATATTTTCAACAAAATTTTCGTTGTTGAAAAAAAATATATTTTCATTTTTTTCAGTTTTTTTAATATTTTCAGCTTTTAAAAAACGAAAATATTTTAATAAAACATTTTTTTTCAGTTTTTACAAAAAAATGCTTTAAAAAAAACTGAAAAAAAAAACTTTTTGTAAAAACTAAATTGTTTTTTGTAAAAACTGGAAAAAAAAAATAAGAAGACTTTACTAAATTAGTGGACTATTGGTGCATTAGTTTAAAAAAAATATTTTGCAAAATATTTTTTTTTTAAGTTTTACAAAAAGAATAATAATTATTTTTAATTTAGTATTGACCTAACGGTCAAAGGGCATAAATGAACCAAAAAAGTGGATGGAGAGGTATTTTTAGCCCAATAGGTGGATGAAGGGCATTTTTGAACCTTTTCCAATAGATTAGGGGCATTTTGAACCCTTTTCCGATGAAAAAAGGAGAATACAAACATTAAGATGTGAAAGGCCGAAATAGAAATAGTATAAAAATTGCAATTTAAGAAATTATTCGGAGTAGAATATGCTGCCTATTTTTTTCCTTTTTCCCCAAACAGTAGTACAAAAAGTTTTTCCTAAAACCGTTGGGGCAAAATGATACCAGATAAAGAAAAAAAGGCAGGGTCAACGCGATGAAGTTTGGTGTTGTTCCTCAGTGACGTCCTCTCAACTCCCACTAAAGGAAGATCCTAGTTGTTTGTCTTGGGCCGCCAAACCCACTCGCCTAAATCCTAGGTCCACCACTGTAGGTAGATCTAATATCTTATCCAACTGGAGATAGACGGCGTCTCTGCCACCATATGGAGATTGATGATGATAAGAATGACAACCTATCCACATGTAGTAGTAACATAATCTCATATAATTTGGGGGACGATGTCAAGTGCAATAGGCAGTATTTAACCAAAATGTTATTTTACCTCAGAGAAGCTTTTCAGTAAATTGTCAATGCAGCACACGACGAAGAAAACACGAAAGGTTCTAAGAAGCTATCACTTACCTGCTTATCCAGCCAGGCGAGATACTGCACGACAGCTGCCCCATCCCGAATGTGGGCCTTCTTCAATCCTTCCATCTCAACAGGATTCTAGAAATATAATCCAGTCATTTAGAATCAACAATAAGATTTAGAGAAAGAACTAAATCACAAAACACACATTACATTCCCAAAATCCTAGTAAATTTGGCAACTTCTAAGAGACAATACCCAATGATATTGGTGGTCTGTTCCTCCGCACTATAAGACAGATCCAAATTGACATAGAGCCAAAAGAAGACTGAGAAATTAGGGGGTGAGGAGTAGGGCCTTAAAACAGACAGAAATGAAGGAAAATAACATAATTACTCCCAATAAATAGCAAACAAAGGAGAACACTGTAACTCCAAAACCATAAGTGATTTGATTTTGTAATTTTAAAAATCATATTGGAATTCGTTTAGAAATCCTTGCCAGCAAAATACTAAGCTGGTAAGAACGCAGCAAGCTCATATGAAAATCTTTGACACCAATAAATTTGATTACAACAAGAAAAATAGGACCCCTATTGAACTAAGCTTTGGTCATTCATGAATTCCAAGGGGACTGCCTAAATAAATACATTTGAAAAGGAATATTACGTGTAATTACTCACATGGCACAAATAAATTTTTCCCAAAATAGTGATCTTTTACTCATTTGTCTGCATCTCTTATCGGAGGGAAATAAGAGAAAAGAACCAAGTTGATCGTATTGTACTTCAAAAAATAGGAAAACTTCTAAAGTGACTCTAGCTTAACGCGATGTTTTCAGCCAAATTATAACTGGAAATAGAATGCCAATCCAGGAAATCATAGAGGTCTATGATGTGCTCAACTACCATCAAGTGTCCTTAACTCAGCTTCAGTACAAAATGCTGTGGCATATTGAGTGTACAAGATGCAATTTTTGGAAATATAAAATAACCCATTATTTGGCCGCCTTTAACTTAATCTTCGCCTACCTACTTTTAGCTGATATACACTAAACTTGTATTTGGTTGCCCATGCATCAGTCCTAGAGACTCCCTTTCCCTTTCCCTGTTTCTTAATTTTCTTCTCAGTGGAGTACTGATCCACATCCACTTTACCCAACAAGCACTCAATAAAGTCTGTGAAAACACCTATCAGACTTACAATCATCAAAAACTCAGACTAACTTTTTTGGGGGTAAGAACATTCCTGGGTAGTATGAATCACCTTTAGGGCTTTCTCAAGGGCCAAAGGTGACTGCTTTAGGAGGACTTTATCAGCATTCAGTTTTGAGTACAAAGCAAAGCAGCATGCACAAGGGTCAACCCAAATGAGGTCATTCACAAACTCTGCAGCTGGAATGGCACCATTTCCTGTAGCCTTGCGATCATTACTCTCTGTGTTCCTTGAAAATCCGGTTGGAGTTTTGTCAGATGAGGAAGCAGTGAGTTGATCAGACGCAAGCAAGACTGCATCTGAGCTAACTTCACCATAATCCCGTACTAAAATTCCATTTTCCTTCATGTAAGAGTTTGCCTGGGACATTAACATGCTTACTTAAGAGAAGGAAATAAGGAGAATAGTATTGAACATAAATCAAATGGTTATGCGGTGCAGATGCACCTCAGATGACAGCTTTCTTTTATCCACATAGAAGAAGGCCGAGTCTAATGTCACAATAGCAAATGCATGAACAACCGGGCTATATGATACATCTGTGCCGCGGACATTATACAACCAGGCAACCTGCAAAATGAAATCATATTTAAGTAATAAAGAGTATATAAGACCAAATTCACCAAAACAGTAAGATGAATAAAATTGGATTCAGGGGTTACAGATTTACTTCATCAAGTGCCGTTATTATCATAGCACGAGATTTTTCCTTTGCAAGCTTTTCTCTCAATTTTTTCAACTTATCTGCAACAGTGCGACCAGCAAATTCTAATGGATGCACGATCACAGGATTTGTTTCGGCAGGTGGCTGATTTTTCCAAACTTCGTCTACCAAGTTTTTAGTTGTTTGAACCAACTTCTGTTGTTTCTTAGCAAAAGCACGCTCCCACTTCTGTGCAGTATCTACTGATATACACCATGGATCAACACCAATAGCTGCATCCTTTGGTATATTCTAGCATATAGCACATAATCACATATGCTAACTCAAATTGAATATCAAAAACATGCTACTCATCTAACCAGAAATTTAAGCAGAAGATTCAAAGCACACTTCCATTATTTCAGGGGAGACAGAAAAATTGAAGGGAAAATCTGGACAGGGGAACAAAAGTTCTTGAAACATTACAATTAGTCCTGATTGCTAATGGGGTGAAAGAGAGCTTCCAGTAGTTAATGCTTTACGATTTTATTTTGCATTCCTCTAATATGATCAAGGATATACTAGATGTTTTGTTTCTTTTTTCTTATTTTATTTGATAAAGATGTATTAAGTCTTTAGAATTTGCTTTATCCTTTCGTAATTTCATTTAACAACGACAAGACCAACAAGTCAACTGTACTTTTATGCACTAGACCTTGCTTCAATCTCCGCTAAAACTTAGGAGTTAGTATCTTTCTCACCAACACTAAAAGAGGCTAATTATGTGCTAGCTCTACGGCCTTAGTGAAGGCAGTTGCAAGAGACCATGAAGGAGTACTCACATCTGCCATCCAAATAGCAACTGCAGGGTCTTCTCCCATACGCATGAGCTTCCACTGCTCACTAAGCTGCTGAGCTGCCTGCAAGAAGTAGCGTCCATCCGTCCACAGAAGTGCTTCGTTCATTGTTATGAGCGCTAGTCCTATCGCAGTAAACACAATATTTTAAGTAAGTTCTGTCCATCTTATACGATCCGGATACACACTAAGAATAGGCTATTACATCACAATCATGAATAGGATATCGAAGCAAATTGACAACACAAATTTAGCAGAATCATATATAAATTTAACTAAATCAAGTGATCGATCAATTTTTGATTCATAATTTATAAAAAAAAAAGCCGGAGAAAAGAGGACAAACCAGCACTTCCGGTGAATCCAGAGACAAAATCGCGCCTCTTGTCCCGTGCAGATACATATTCGCTCTGTCAAGTCACAAAACAAGGTATAGAAATTAGACCTAGAACACTTGAATTGAAAAAACACAAAACAAAAAAACAGAAACTTTGAAATTGAAATTGTTTGATTGATTGAAAATCATGTGTTTCAATACAGCATGAACTCATAAAGCTAAGTGGAAGGGAAGGAGAAACCTGATGATAATCTTCGGAAGGAACGAGCAAAGCATGGAGAGGAGGAGAGTGAGAAGACATTAAAGACCTCAGAGCAGCGAGAGCGTCTGCCATCGCTTTTTACTGGGGAATCAAGCAGAGAGAGGAGAGTCGGGAGACTTTGATATGTATATGGAGATCAATTGTATTTATTCTCAATCCTGGCATCTTATATTCGTTGTTGGGTGAACCACATAGTACAAGTCGAAAATATCAAACAACCTAAAAGATAAGTATTTCAAAACAACTGCAATTACCCTAAATTCTAATTATGTGAACTCGCTATTGATTTTATCACTCCATTTGTGGCATTTTCTATACAAAGATTTAAAATCTTGAGTTTTTGATAATAGAGATTATATATGAATTATGGTTTATACTGACATAAATATTTAAGAAATAGGCTCTCTCAAACAAATAGGGACTTGATATAATGTAACCATCTTAAGACTCAATCCAATTAATTGATATTGCATATGTAGATATCTTTTTAGAGATTTTTACATGGCTGATCCTTTATTTAATAGTATTATTTTTATTAATAGCATCACTTCTTCTTTATTCCATAAATGGCAGACCTTTTTACAAATTTAGCATATTTCAAAAATGATGTCATGAGAAATTAAGGAATACCATGAGAAATTTAATAGCTAACTTTTCTTTCTCTCATATAGGGTTTTTCTTTTCTTGAGGGGGG